AGATTGTTGATCAAAATGCTACCAGGCACAGTTTGGTAACCAGTGCTGCACCAGAAATCGACTATTTTAACCCAATCCAATTCCCACTCTCCCACTTCATGGAATCCCAAACTTCCACCTGTCGAGATTTACCTCTATTGTGTCATTATCGCACGCAAACATAGTTGTTTCACATGTTCTCGTGTTACAACACGAGTGCATAATTTATTAGTTTGCCCTTTAGTGGCAACAGTGATTTAGTTGGAGATGAAATTGATAATGAGAGTACCAACCTAGGATTGATGAATGATTGGTAGCAGGCTGCTGTCCTCATTAAAGGCACCCGGAGAATGAGGCGAAGGGCTCGTCTTGAGTACTTGAGAAGAAAAATTTTTGGGAAAAGCAGTCTCATTGTTCTACATGACCAAAAACAGACAAATTTAGCCATTACATAACACGTGCACATACACGTAATATGGTAAGAGTCCCATATTCTGTGTGCAGGCAAACTAGAAAGTAAACTTGAATGAAAATCCCCACTAATAAACTAAACCTTGACTCCGCATTGTGCTAATTCAAATTCCGAAATTTGATGTAAGATATTCACTCAACTGCGTTAGAACACACTATATAAATAGAATGAGCTTTGAAGCCTTTAAGATATGTAGGATGTTAGACCACACAGTTTTTCACACGTTTGGATAAATTTTAGTTTTCACTGGTCTAAACCAAAACCTTCTCCACTTTCAAGAGTCAATCTTCAAATAACTTGTTATGAATGATCGATTAAGGTTGTTCCTACTTTTAACCTCTATTCACACCTTGTGTTCCTGATAGAAACATATTTATGTTTTAAAAAATAGTTACCTTATATGTTAATAACACAGTAGATCAGATTAAAATTTGTCAGTAACTGGCAGGTTCAAACTTAGTTACCAGCAATGTATTTATTGTTCTTTTTTGTTTTTGCATAAGGGGCAGCTAAAGATGAAAAGGTTGCTATATTCCTATGCAGAGTGGTTGGGACATCACTGAAATAAATGTTTTAAATGTAAACTGGTTATATGACTTGTTGACAGTAAAAGGTTTTTTCCTCCAGACTTTCCAAACACAATATGGAGTGAGAGGGAGATGGTTGTCCCATTTCTTGACATGCATCAGCACATCATGCCAAGCATATATCAATTAATTCCGTTACAATCCAAAGTTACATACTAAATTTATGTTTCATAAGTGATTAAGTCCTATGCATTTCCATTTGTTCTCCCAGATAATAGAAAATGAAGTAAACCCTGATCCCTTTTTATCCGTTTTTATAAACTTCAGTTATTCTCGTGTTGAACAGACAACAATTATCTGCAGTCGTCAAACATAATCATTAAAAAAGAATGAAAGACAAACATTAGCAGCCACAGGAAATAGAACCTGATTCGAGCTTGTCTCCTTGCTACACCCACTAGAGCCAACTCTTGAAATAGAAGTGTCTTTCTCTATGCCTTTTTGAAGCTTCGGAACGGGAAAAGCATGGCATGTCTCTTCAGCATCCAAGATAGACAGATGATTTGGCACAGGAGAAGATGAAGGTTTTGTCCATTTCGAATTCCCATTTAATTGGGAGAAAATAAGAGAATCAGACGAGCCAGATAAAAGTGTATTTGGCAGTAAGCTAGATTTAGCATCCTTTAACATAGTGCCACCACCTCCTGCCTTGGCCTGCAAGGACGCCTCGGACAACAGGCCTCCAATGCTCAAGGCAGTTAACTCATCAAACCACGGAGACTCGATTTGTGCATGGCGTGCCTCAATTTTCTGTGCATCCAAGTTATTCTTGTTTGAAAGTAGAGAAGCTTCGGACAATAAGCCCCCAATGCTTAAATCGCTGGCTGCCAGGAATATGGGCTGCAAGGATGACTCGTTCTCTGGTCTCGTGCCAGGATTGCACATCTTACCCAACAGAGATGCTTCAGAAAGGAGATCACCTATGCTGATGTCGGATATTAGTCCTACTGGCTGCATCACAGGCTTGGTTACCGAATTGGGATCCGAATTATTAAGTTTAGCCTGCATTGATATTTCGGATAGGAGGCCTCCGATACTCAAGTTGGTCAAATTATCATCCCAAGGGATGGATGGGTGTACCTGTCAAAGACTCTCCTTTTAAGAATGATATGCAAAACCAGAAAGCCATCCATGGTCAGAAATGCACATTCCAAAGTATAGAATAAGTTGGAAGATAAAGGATGATGCTCAACCCATGCCTCAAAGACTGGTTTAATTAGTAGAAATTATTTAAGACGAAACATTAGACTTAAGTTGCAATAATATATCCAATGAAATTATTATGAATTATCTACTTAAATGGATAGTAGCATATATTCAAATGTCAATATATCCAATATAATTACAATGAATTATCTACCACATATTCAAATGTAGAAACAAGCAAATTGAAATCAATAAAACGGATTTCGTGTAATAAGCTTGATATTCAGCAAACCGGTTAAAAATTAATCACAAATATCCAAAAGATCTGATTCTTTCTTAAACAATTTCTTATCAGTAGTGGGTGTCTTTTTTATAGTCTCTCTCCTCTCTTCCAAGTGAAACATCATAAAGTTAATTCACTCCAGCTTTTGAAATTGATATTCACCAAAATTTAAAGAAATACCGATACCCAGCTTCATCCTTATGAGTCTTTACCTTATAATAATTAACATGATTATTCCGTAACAAACACTGCCTACCCATATTCTACTTTCTAAATCTCTCTAGACAAATTGAATTCTGAAAATATGGGGTACATAATTACCACAAAGTCAGCAGGCACATCTAAAGTTTTCTGCTCAGTCACAGCTGTATGCAAAGCATCATTCCCATTGGTCCGATTTTCAAAATCTTCTCTATATTCGTCATGTTTTTCCACTCTATGACCCTCAGGAAGACAAGTTTTAGGAGGCGTGCGAAACATGGGGTGCAGAAAATTGGAGCACCAGCCATACCTAGAAACCAAAAATAGTGAGTTGCATTATTGGAACTGATATTATAACCTTGAAGAAATGAAAGTAACTCGCTTCAGACCTTAGACGGAAAATGGAAGGACTTCCCACATCAGCATATACCTCCCCAGCAGTAGTGGAAGAATCATTTGAAGTCCATCTTTTGCATGAAGCTACTTGTTCCAATTTTGTACCGTAAGGAAAAACCATCAGCTGTCCTTTGGCTACACTTGAATTGCCCCATTTAGTATTCAGGTGTCTGAGCACTGATGATATCCTCTTCCGAGCACTTAGAGTGAGTTCCAGAAACGGGTTGTGACCATCCTGTAAAATATAACCAACCAACAATTTTGAATTCATTTTCTATTATTCAGGGAAGAGAAGGGAGGAGAATTTCATACCTTCTCCAATCCCATGCGGGTTTCTTCATTTATCGGGAATAGCTGCAGCTTGACCTTTACAGGGGGAATCTGCAGTTGAACTTGAGGCTCCAAATGAGTCATCCTCGTACTTTCTGCAGTATAAACACTACTACATGTGAACTTATATAGAAGAGAAATGTTGAAGCCAGAGGATAAAAATAATTTTTCAGGAAAATCAATTTTCACACATTGATAAAAGGTTAATAAATAAGCAAATCTATTTGAACATAAAAGTACCAAAGAGAAACACACAACCAAACACACAAGTGAACGGGAGTAACCAAAATAAAAAATGAAGTCTCCTATGTAGTGGGATAAACTCAGTAGTCAGTAGGTTGCCCACAGGCCACAGCCAATACTAAAACCACAATTTGGTTGCTCAACCTGTAGCTTTCTGAGACACCCTGCTAGTCCCATTTGCAGACTTCTTCACGGACACACCCATGTATTCGTCTTGCTTTCTGCTAACATCAACGATTTTTCTCTTTCTGTGTTTGTTGGACTTCATGGAAGATTTTCTGGAATAAATTCAGATACAGAATCACATTACAACACATAATCAGTCTCCTGACATCCAATAATGGATTGTTGAATTCCTTTTTGCCAGAAACACACGAGCAGGTGCAATACATTATTGAGAAACAGAAGTGATCATGAAATGCCACATTACATATTCCACATTTTCAGTTTAGAAACCAGGAAAAGCAGATATCTATTGTTTGCTTATGTGCAAGGAACTGTAGACAAAAAAAAAAAATGTATGATGCCTAATGTACCATGACAACAAAAGACCAATTCCAGTCACCTGAAGATAATTTGCATCCATAAGCCTATGTATATAGCACCGTACAAGATGTCGAAATGTCCGATTTACATACGTAACCACTAACCTCTTAAATCAATCAACTCAAATAGGTCAACATATTGAACTTCATACACCTTCCAGGTGAGAATTCCGAATAATATAACCTGCTGCAGCGGAATCCAGCAGTAAAATTACGTCTATCAATATGTATGAATAGAAAAACCATTCAAAGACAACAATAAACTCCTAAAATCCCCCAAAAAAATTACAAACAAATGAATAAAAACAAAGTTTGCGCAAGAACATCGGATCTCGCACATATACAAACGTCAATTCACATACATAGACAAAACATACCTCGAAAAGAGGTGATTTTCGGCCGGTAGCAGGCGTAGATCCGTTTCTGTGTGTCAATTTTGACGGTGGAGCCGTGGCGGGAACAGACTTCAGGCGAGTCGCCGCCTTAATTTTTCATACTTCGATTTGAATCAGTTTTAAACTTTTGTTTTTCCTCATCAAATATCAATAAAGAAATAAATAAATAACGTTCCTACCTTCTGATGTAAGCCTCATATATATGAGCCCATTAGCATATCCGCCCAGTCTAATTGGCTTTTAAGGTAAGAGCTAGCCCACTACTAAATATTCTTTTTATTATATATTTCACATCTAATATATTTTTATTAGCAAAATTATTAAATCTACATTATTTATTTGCATATATATATATATATATATATATCATAATTCAAGATTAGTCATATTTACTAGTGCGTGGCCCATGCGATGCATGAGAAAATAATATTACGATTGTGTTATAAATTAAATATACAAATAAATTAATCAAAATTTACCCATCGTTTTAAATTAAACTGTGTTGGACATAGTCCTACTTGGTGGACCGAGAACCGGTTTATAATTAGTCTAGTTCGCTTGAATAAAATATTTGCTATGAATTCGTCAACACCAGTCGGTTGATCTGATAGGATCGATACGATTTTCTAAATAAATTTTACTATATTTATAATTATTTTAAATAAAATTATATATTTAAATAAAATAGAGATTTATAAATTGTTTATCAATTAGTTTAAACATTTAGATTTTAAAATTTATTAGATATTTAAGTAACACATTTTGAATTTATTACAAAAAGTATTTTATATATATATATATATATATATATATTAAAGCGTGTTTTTAAAGAAAATATTAAAATGTATGACTTTTATAAATTAAATTGTATGATTAAATTTTGTATGATTATATTTAACCGTATTTATAAATTAAATTATATAATTCTTAAAGAATAAAAATAAGAAAATTAATAAAACTATTATTTATGGGTTGCATTAAATACTGACTTATTTTTTTGCTACTATTTTTTTTAAATAGATTCTCTCTTTTTATATATATATATATATTGAATATAGATATAGATATAGATATTTAATTAAGAATTATTAAGGTATTTGTTTGCAATTGGTAACTCCCCTTATTTAATGGGATTTACTTTTTGTAAATTCCCATAATTTTACCTTATCTCTATGTGCAAAACATACACGCCTCACGACATCTCCAATCTTCTACATTCTTCTCTCTTTTTTTTATCCTTTGCTTATCATTATCTAAAGCTTATTTCTTATACGCAATTCATCTTGTACGAGAAAAAAATTATGGCGTAGACAATGCCCTCAGCCAATGTTGGAAGCAGCCCCACCCTCGGTGAAGAGACGGTCCAAGTTCTTTATCTACAAGGTGAAGGGACTATGCTCGTTTATGGCGGCGGAAAACTTATGAGCAAATGTAACTGGCGGCGGCACGGATCAGCGGACTATGTTCTTCTATGGTGGTGCGAGGCACGATGCACAAACCTCGGAGGGGTGGCTGACCGGAGAGGACACCTCAATATGTGGCTCGTCTGACGGTGACGAGTCTAAGGCCTTCACCTACGGTATCTTGGAAACCTCATGTCGGTCAGATGCATGGCATCTTGGAAATCTCATCTAACCAGAATTCAGGTAATTGAGACCGATGGGTGATGACGGGAATCACTGAGGAATGCATTTTTGTGAAAAAAAAAACAGTGAATTTTTTTTTAACCATTTAGATTTGTATAACACAAATTTTAGCCACATTTTTAAAAAAACCTCTTTTTTAGCCATTTTGGCACTTAAAATGTCAAAAATACCCTTACTATAATTTTTTTAAAAAATAATCTCTCTCTTCACTAATCTCTCTTCTCTTTTCATTCTCTTTTCATTCATCATTTCATCTTCACTCATCTAAAAAACCATTCTCTTAACAAAAAAAAAAAATATTCTCTTAATAAAAAAATCATTCCGGCAACATTTCGGTGATATCTCGGAAATAATAGTTTAAAGGTATTGTTATAATTTATCTTCTTTTTAATGGGCCATATATATACTATTCAAATTAATAAAATGAATATGGAAAAAAAAAATTGTAGAAAAGATTTCTTGGAAACTTGAATGGTTTCTGGGTCAGAAATGTGATTTCTGGTTCGAGAAATCACATTTCTGACCCAGAAATCGATTTCTGGACAGTCTCATTTCTTGTCCGAGAAATCAATTTCTGACCCAGAAATCACATTTCTGACCCAAAAATCACATTTCTGACCCAGAAATCGATTTCTGGATAGTATCATTTCTTGACGCAGAAATCGATTTCTGACCCCAGAAATCGATTTCTGGGACCAGAAATCGATTTCTGACCCAGAAATCACATTTCTGGATAGTCTCATTTCTTGTCCTAGAAATCGATTT